AAAATGTATATGTTTTTCCTCTGGTCATCTAAAGAAGCAGCAAGAGAGAACCTTGTAAGATAAACCACTTATATTTTGGTTGTATCATACACACAAGATCACTGCTGGGCAGTGACTCAAAATAATTACTGCTCTTGGGTTTTATGTCTATGATCACTAGAATGGATTAGAATCCCACTACCCATAAACATAAAATACAAGAAAAAAAATACATTTAGCATATTTTGATTAGATCTGTCACTTGATTAAAAAACAAATTAGATGTATGATGTTTAATTTATGTAATGTGTAAATATTTGCATTTGAATTAACAATACTTACAAAGAGCCTGCTTTTCTTTGTTTTCGAATGATATCCTGATATCAGGGCTCGTTTTAGAAGAAGCATTCTCTTTGTGGGAGAGTAATGCTACTTGCGTTTTTAAATAGTGACAAGGAGTTTGGATAGAGATTCACAACTGGCATTGTGGTTTCAGACATGCATGAAACAGTAATCACATTAAATGGATACATCCTAGTTCATTTGCACACATCTGAACAGTTTACTAAACAATGGTGGATGTGGTATATTTATTGCATACATTGCAATGGAAGGGTCTGCTTCCCTCCTGATATTTGTGTGAGTTGGTTTAGTCTTGTGGGGTGGAGTCCCTGCTTAGTTAGTTGAGAGCCAAATGGCAACTGGTGGGGAGGGGAGACGGAAGGAGGATTGCTGTCTGCCCTCTTCTTCTGATAATCCGTGCTCCAGATCTACCATATCCTCAAAAACTGTGCGGCTGGTAGAATGCTGGCCTTCTGCTCTCTTTAGATAAATGTCGTTAAGATGTACTGAAGTTTGGAGATCTTGGTTTTTTAATAGTCTCAATAATACACTGGTTTTGCAATTGTAAAAATGTGTGTCAGAGATTAAAAAAAACATGATGTTAGGGTTTCAAAAATCATGGAAGGGGGTGTAAGGGAAATATTCATTTTCGACTGGAGAGTGAAACAGCCAATGGGCATTAGCTGGCAGTGCTGTGCCCAGAGTGGAAAGAGTTGTGTAAGAGTTGATTCCTGTTCTAGTGAGAAGTCTTCTTGGGCTGTGCCTGAATACCTAAACCTATGGGATTATTTAGCCTCTAAGTCTGATGATTCCTCTGAATGAAGACAAATCATTTCAACTGAGTTTCCTGCAGAATGTATGATTCCCTTTGAAATTTCAAAGGTTTTATTTCTGTCTGTTTACTAAGGCTCAACTCCAGCTTTTCAGAATTTTGGATCTAAAGCCTGAGATCTGTCTGCTGGAAAGTTCTCCATTGCAAGGCTACCTTGATGCCCGGAGAGCACTTGGTGGAACTATGGCTTGGTCGTCTCCCTTACTTTAGAGCTGGATTCGAGTCCTGTAGCACCTTAGAGACCAACAAGATTTTCGTGGTATATGCTTTCAAGAGTCAAAGCTGTAGGAAGCATACTGGTTTTCGGTGATCCAGATCCTTCTTTATTTAGCAGAGTGCACTTGGCTTTAAAACAGCAGTGCTTGTCCTGAATCTACCATGTGCTTGCAAGACTACAAAGTTACACAGAGCCATGTTTCAGTTTGAAACAAAATAATCTATTTTGTTCTAGGAATACATGCTTGCAGGGTAGAGAGTTCCTATGCTATCTAGCTAGGAGATGGAAGCGGATGTTGAGAGGCAAAGCTTCAGAACTTTACTGATGCTTCAGAGGAGGCAGGTGAGCCAGCAACACCCTTTTGTTTACCAAGAATGCTACTCGTAGAGGTGCCTTCCTTCTGACTAACTCCTTCTCTCTCTCTCCTTCCCTAACCACCATGTGGGGAATATAGTTTCTCTCCATCCTGGTTTAGATTCTGAGAACCCTTTTTTCCTACTTTTCCTATCTAGCATGGAGTTCCTTCATAACAAAGAGCTTCTATTTCTTTTCTAAAGCAACAAGCATCATGTGGACTTTCTCCTATAAACAGCATTTTCTGTACGCAGCACAAACCAAGCCAGTCACAAAACTTTAGTATGTTTCAAGCAGCTGTTTTGGATATGGAGCTCCTGTCAGACACAAAGGTGATGCTGCCTGGGGCTTTTGTGACAACTCCTGCTCCAGTGACTGCTTCTTTGCTTTAGGGAAGAAGGAAATGGGTGACTGGAAATAGACTGGCAAGTTCCCTAGCACCCGTGGGCTATGTACTAAGTGGTTTCACTTTCTACTTTGGAGGTTCCGATGTATATGGGAACCTCTGTTTCGTAAAGTGAAACCATAGTATTCTTATCTTCTTCCTTCTCTGTCTGTACAGAAGTGTTTGTATAAAGAATCTGTTGTGTAACTGTGGAAAAACCTTGCCTTCTTTAATCATTTACATGGCTAGAAAATTAACTGAATCACAAGATGCATATGGAAGTTTGTATCTGAGACCAAAAAGGGTCTGTCCTTTAATCAAGTTGGCGAGTTATTTATTTTCCAGAAGTCACTGCTCCAAGGAGAACGTGGCTGCCATGACCAAGATCCTTTTTGTAGCAAAATGAGCAATGTATGAAGAACCTGCTGAGGACATAGGGTTGCCAGCTCTGGGTTGGGTAATCCCTGGAGATTTTGGGGTGGAGCCTGGGGAGGGCAGAGCTTGGGGAGGGGAGGGGCCCCACCATAGAGTCCATCATGCAAAGCTGCCATTTTCTCCAGGGGAACTGATCTCTGTAGTCTGGAGATCAGTTGTAATACTGGGAGATCCCCAGGCCCCACCTGTGGGTTGGCATCCCTAACCGAAACATGTCAGTATGAACCATTTCCCAATACTGAGCAACAGATACACAGTTTCTTCCTGCAAAACAGAGGTGGTGGTGGTGGGGGAAAGAGTTTCCATTTATTTGGGGAAGGCAAAGATGGCCGGAGAGGATACTTAAAAAAACAAACAAAAAAATAGGCTTAAGGTTTTATTCACAGTCTATGACCAGATCATTAATCACAAATTATAAAATGCCTCATTGGGGCAATACAACAATAATAAAATCATTCACAATAGAATTTGAACAATACCTCATAACAGAATCATTCAGAATACAGTAGAATGCTACAAAGTCTATTAAGAAGTTTAAAATCTTAACTATCCACTACTTGAGCTATTACAGTTTTCCTATGACTTGCAGCAAGCCAGCCACATCTAGCCACCTGCTAAGTAACGTTGTGATGCCTGTCTGACAGAAAGCTCCTCAGAAGGCAGGATCTCTGTCTGTTGTCTAAAGGTAATGACATAGGGCAGAGGAAGGGATTCAAAAAATTTATTATACACCTTGCTGTCGAAAAGGACATGGTCTAGCGATTCTTTAGCTTCATTACAGCAAGGGCAAATCCTTTCTTCATAGGGAATCTTTTAATACTTTCCTTCAAGGACATTAGTGTGAATACTCTCCTATACTCTTGATTTAATAAGTGGGAAAGATAAGGCCCTCATAGGGGGTTCCAGACAAAGTCTCTCCCTATTCTGTCCTGTTGCCTTGCAGTATCATTAACCCTCTGTTTAACCAAAGCCTTGGCTTTATCATAACTCAGAGAGCACAGAAATTGTTTGGAAAACCCTTTCCTATGCTTTTCCCATTACTCCACCATTTACATAGAAACCGGTGCACTTTGGCCTCTTCCCCCCACATGGACATGCAGCACGGACTTTGCTTTTCTAAAGGCTTACCATAAAAAGACGGGATGTTATACAGTTTAGATTTGTGTTTAGCAACGTTAAGTGTGAAAGTGCAAGAGGGTAGGTCCAGTCAATGCATAGCCCATTGGTCAAGTATAGTCTGAGCTTTGATGAGGAAGAGAGACACAGAGAGGCTGCAGCTTGCCTAAGGCCATCTCAGGCTGAAAAGAGATGGGGTGGAAACTACATGTGCTACTCTGTAATGTGAATAGTTTCCATCAGTGTTCAATTTTTTAAAAAGCAGCTGTGGGTGGCCATATAAGGAGATTTGGAGATACTAGGAAATACCCCACCAGGAGATGATGGGAAGCACAGAGACAATTGCGCTGGCATTACTCTGACAAACACAGTCTGGTTATACGGTAGAAGTGACATGGTGGGAGAAGGCTCTAGGATTTGACCAATTTTACTAGGATCTGGGGCACATCCTAGAGCCCTGTCCCAACATCTCACATCTCCCTGCAGGCCACTTCTGGTGTTGTGCTGTCTGATGTATGATGCTGGCAAGCCCTCCCATTCCCAGCCCCCCACCGCCAGCCAATAAAGCAGTGGCAGAGAATGGGAGGTCTCCCCTTGACCACCCTAGGATATAATTTAGGTTAGAAATTCAGAAGACGACCTTCTGCTTTTTCCTTTAGGCCTTTTTTGTTATGAGATGAAGACGGTGGCAATTGGAAAGAGGGTCTTTCCTGTGTAGTGTTGCCAGCAGGCCTGGAGAAAAATGTTCTGTCTCTTCATGAGAGGCTTAATGTTTGGAAACGGGCAGTTGAAACTTCCCATGGCGTGGAGCTAAAGAATACCATCATTAAGTGACTTCAGACTACTGTCTCCAGACAAGTTCATCAAGCACATACAGTGCTTGATTTTCTTTTAGGTGCCACTGAGAAATAAGTGTGTTTATTCTCCCAGGCCTTTGGCACCATCTGATTGCTGGTTTGTATATATGGGGGGGGGGGGTCTTCTCCTGTTGCTTAAGAGTTTCTGCCTTCTTGTAATGGACTGTAATTTTCCTTTGGGTTGTTTGTTGCCTTGGAGGCCTAGACTAAGTAGACAGGTGCGACAGGTGCAGTGTAAAATGTACAATAAATAAATACAAATAAATAATCTTCAGCTCTGGAGAGGAGGCTGGCTATTAACTAACAAACTGAGATTCTTTAGGATATTGGTGTGGCAACCTCAGATCTCCATAAATAAAAAATTGAAATATTGGTTGCCTGATTTGTGGGGTTGGTATGTAAAAACAAGAAGATAAGAATTCCCAAGAGCTAAACAGTGCATAATATCATCTCTTACCCTTTTCTCCTTTGGTTTTCTTTCAGGAAGGAAAATGTCTCTATGTAATTCTCCTCATGGCTTTCTACTGGTGCACCGAAGCGTTGCCATTGTCTGTGACGGCTCTTCTTCCCATAATTCTCTTTCACTTCCTGGGGGTCCTCCCCGCCAGCAAAGTTTGCCCCCAATATTTTTTAGATACCAATTTCCTCTTCCTGAGTGGCTTGATCATGGCAGCTGCCATTGAAGAGTGGAATCTGCATCGCAGGATCGCTCTGAGAATCCTCAAGTTCGTGGGAGTCCAGCCAGCCAGGTGACTGAGGCAGTAACTGAATTTGTTGTTAACTTGATTGCAAAAGTGGAAAGTAAGGGTCTGAGCAAGGTGGACCCATCAAAAGGTTCTGTTGACTAGGCCACACAACTGCTACTAGGGGTGTATAGTCAGACTCAGATATGACCCCTTAAAATGCCTGATATTTAGAGTGTTGGGTTGGCAATATTCAGCACCATTGATGTCTCTCTGGCACGACTCTCGATTCTACTGTTATCATTCCTGATAACACTGGAATCGAGTCCAGCTGGCAATACAGCAGTCACTAGAGAGCAGGGGCGGCTCCCCAGCTGAGAGTCAAGACCTCAGCCCTCTTAATTTAAAGGACCATTATTTTCTATGGGTGTAGACCTGGTAGGTCCCACCTGGAGGCTGACATCCCCAAGACCTGGCCTCCCCAGTGTAGAGGCTAAGTCTACCCACATAGAAAGCAATGGCCTTTTAAAATTTAAAGGGCTGAGATGCTGACTCTCATCTGTAAGGTCTTAGTCCTCCTATCTTCCCCCCTCTTAAGTCCACATGATGGTCTTTCTATAGAGTTCCCAAAAGCCATGTGAGGCCTGGAGATCTCCTGGGATTACAACTGATCTCCTTCCAGACTACAGAGATCAGTTCCCTTGGAGAAAATGGCTGCTTTGGAGGGTGGTCTCTATGGCATTATACCCTGCTGAGGTCCCTCCCCAAATCCCACCCTCTCTAGGCTCCAGCCTCAAATCGCCAGGGATTTACCAACCCAGAGTTGGCAACCCTTTCCTTCTATCGAATATCAGGAGTATGGCTCTGATATTTCTGGAATGACTTTCCAATATGATGACAGAACTCCTGATATCTAACGATAATGATAAGCACGCCATTCCCCACTTCCCAATATGGAATTAAAACAGTATTTTTTACCTGCACACCCCTAATTGCCAGTGCTAGAGTCTGAGACTGTCTTCTTGTAGGTATGGCTTTTCCTATCACAGTGCTGCCATGGTAAGCGAAGCTGCCAACTGGTGGGATTTTCCTTCCTGCACAACTTGTAAAAGCTAGAGAAATCTCAGGGGGCTGGATCTGACAGTCCTGATAGACATGAAAATGTCACGGGCTTCATCCCATCAAGCAACCATTCTAGATGCATTTAGATTACAAGGGGAAAATGACACTGGCATAGCTATCATGGCTGCTCCCAAGAAGGCATTTGGCTGGACCCTTTGGAAACACGATCTAACCCAGTAAAACTGTAATTTTTAGAAAGTGCTATGAATTCTCTGAGATGGCCTCTTCCCTTTTCAGTGTTGGCAAGTCCTTACCTGAGGAGAGTACTTATTCATTTAAACGCTCTGAGACATAAAAGAAAACGTCATTGCTGCCCTTTCTCCTATGGGGCCCTCACTGGTCCTTTCGCCATCCTCTTCTCCAAGATTCCTCAGAACATTTAAAGCTTTACCTACAGCCCTGAGGATTCTGTGCAGGTCCAATTGTTGTTGTTATTCTTTTAATGTGTATCATGTAATATCCCTTTAGAGTCTCCTGACTTTGGGTATAAATACCTCTCTAGCCTGCCTTTCCTCCCAGGAGTTAAAAGCAGCATACATGGTTCTGAACCCCTCCATTTTATCTTTACAACAGCTCTGTGAGGTAATTTAGGCTGAGAGCATGACCGGTCCAAGTTTTCCTCGTGAGCTCCAAGTCTGAGCAGGGATTTGAACCCAACTCACTGTGGTGTTGGTCAAACATACTAACCACTAAATCATATTGGCTCCCAAGTATTACAAATAAGTAAATAAATCAACTATATCCCCTTAGAACTACAGTTTCTAAAATACATAGTGATCAATCAATCAATAATTTATTACTGCCATGGACCAGCAGGATACAACATGCATGAACAGAGTGGTTATACACACACACACACACACACACACACACACAATTTCCCATATATACTGTCTGTCTGTCCGTCTAGACAGACAGACAGACAGACAGACAAGACAGATGGTAGACAGATATATATAAAGCAAACGTATCATTGCATCAGCACTGCATCTTGGTAGACGCTGGCAGATGCACAGAAACTGGCAACTCTGCCACAGAAATTGGCAACTCTGCCCAAGGTTTCAGATTCAAGGTCTGCAAAAAAAAGCAGGAGAAATCATGAGCATTAAGCAGGCTTAAGGCGTGAGTGTAGACATACGTTCTGATGGACAGAGAATGTTGATGGGCTGTTGTTAATGCCTTTACTTGGGCTTATCCCTCTGGCCTTCAAGAGGTTTCACATACCGGGAGCAGAAGGGCAGAACGTCAGTCAGCCTGTCCCAAGGGCTAGCCTGGTGGCTGGAGAAGCAGCTGGGGAGACCCAGTTCAGTTCTGCACCCTGAGCTTGCTAGTCATGATCCATCTTTCAGCACCACCACCTACCTATGAGATAAAATGGGAGAGAGCAGCGCCAAACCGCCTGAAGGAAGAGTGAGATGAAAATCTAATATACCAGTAAATAATGCCACTAACGATCTACCCGATAGGGTTGTCGTTGTTAAGTGCTTTGAGAACTCTTTTCGGTCATTACAGGCTGAGGCTGTGATCCCTACTCAGAGTCCTGTCATCACACATGACTTATAGGTTCTCCTGAAATTCTGTCTGTGTGAAGCCCAGTTGGGATTTTGACTGTAGCATGTATGACGAATGGGCTTCAGCCTTCCCCCTGCACCATTTTCCTGACTTGCGGAGGTCCTGGGGGTGTGCTATTTGCCCCAGCAGGCAGGCCATATAACACCCTATCAAGTCAGGAAAAAGGTGTGGGAGGGAAGACTAATACCCCGTTCTCTCCACACACTACATTCATGATCCGAATTGGGCACCATATGCATGGGAATTGTGTAGGATCTGCAGGTCACATGTGACAGGTACAGGGTGGGGACCCAAGCCCAACCGTTGTACTCTGTAATGTGTGAAGAGGATTTCCTAATTTAAAGAACTGTGGCTGTATACATGCTAAATTATGTTATCGTTATGGCCTCGAAATAGTTTACGCCACGTGATACAATGCCCTTCCTCCCCCACAAATTAACTTGGGGTGTGTGGGCGTGTGAGAATTACACGAAACAAAGGAGAACACCACGGGGGAGGGGGGAAGTTGCACAAATGATCCACAGAACCACTGTAGGCCGTGTGCTGTCGGCGGTGACATTTTCTCCGTAAAACTAAGAGCCTTTCCAAATAATTGTTCTGTTCCTTTGCGTAATAAACACACAGTTGTTATTCATTATGGCGGATTCCTGATGGCAGTGCTTCTATTGTAAGAGCGTCACCTTTCCCCCAGTTCTCAGATTGCAGTATGTGTGGTTATAGGAAACATGTGATCTCACCCAGCATAGCTTTAATTGGGCTTATAAGCAGCATATGGAATTAGATTGCATAAATGCTGTTGGATAGAGTCTGTGTGATAAATATTTTTTTTTCATATTGTTCGATTGCTATTGTGGCTTCTTATGCCCCGCGACAGAAAGGGGAACAACAATCTTTTTATAATTAAACAAAGCAAATAAATTACACACATGGAGGAGAAGAGAATCACGGCCACTTTCACTCTCTCTCCCCACCCAGCGTGACTCTTTTCTGATTCCCAGTCCCCGCCCTTTTCTGATTCCCAGTCTCCGCCATCTTCACCCCCTCCCAGTCATGGCACCCTTCTTCCCTCTTGCCCAACTTACAACTATGCTATGTGGAACAGAATGTGACTCTTTTTGCACTCCCTTTACCCCGTCCGGGTGTGCTGGCAAACCCAGAAACAAGCATCAAGGAGTCACTACAATGTTGTAATCGATCCTGTATTCCCGTAAAAAGCAGCATAGCTAGGGCTGCCAACGGTGCCTTGGGAAATTCTTGGCGACTGGGGGGTGGGTGCCCAGGGAAGGTGGTGTTTCAGGAGGGGAGGGGGATCGGTGGGAATGTAATGCCATGGAGTCCGCTCTTGGAATCCACCATTTCTTCTAGGGGAACTGATCTCTGTAGTCTGGAGATCAATTGTAATTCTGCGAGACCTCCAGTCCCCATCTGGAGGTTGCCAATGCTACGTAGAGCATGGTTTTCTTGTACTCTGTTTTCTCCATGCACTTCTTCCATTGGGAAATGGGAGATCCGCCCAGTATCTAAAGACTGGGGGGGGGCCTTGCCCATTGTGGGGCTTGGCACACACCCGAGTACACTGACTCCTGGCGCCAGTGCCATGGTCAAATTCTATTTTATTGTTTTTTCTAATTACTTCTTAGTGTGTGTTAGAGGGGAGGGGAGGTAGCATGATGTAGCCCAATCTCCTTAGCACTCGGAAGCTAAGCAGGGTCAGTACTTGGATGGGAGACCACCAAGGAACACTCTGCAGAGGAGGGCAATGGCAAACCACCTCTGCCTCTCACTTGCCTTACTAGGGCTGCGGTCACACGGAGCATTAGGCACGCTAGAGAGATGGAAGATAGGCGGATTTTCCGGGCGCGATCTCACCGCCACATCTGGGAAGCGTAGCGCTCCCGTGGCGAACCCGAGGCTTCCCGCCGAAGACGCGCGGTTAAAAACTAGTACCTCGGAGGTACTAGTTTCCGGTAACCGCGGGGCAAGGGCGGGTGTCTGATCGCGTTTCCGGTGGTAGTTCCGGCGCCCGCCCATGCCCCCTCGTATAAAGGTGTTTTTTCCTCAACTGTCCATGGGATGCACACAAGCACCCAACAGGGCATGCACACACTTTGGTGTCCGGAAAACAAAACACCCGCTTGCCGCGCCGCCTCTTTGCCACGGCGCAGGATTGTGGTGTGCTCAGCGCCTCCCCCCTACCACGGGACCTCCACGGTACGTCTGCTGGTGCAAACGCGCGTTATTTTGCCCTGGGGCAAACAGCCACGCCTCCCCCCCGCGATATCCGGCCCGTGTGACTGGGGCCTAGGAATGCCATAAGTCAGTCACAGTTTGACTGTACTTACATCCACATGTATGTGTTAGAGCTTGTATGAATATACTACTTAAATGCAGGAGTGCTCATATTAAAAAGTTCCAACAAGGCTCACCCACTGCTCACATTAGAAAGTTGCCCTTACCTCTGCAACATCTGTGTCCACCATGAATCCCTTCTTATACTGGGCCAGACCATTGGTTCATCAAACCCAGTATTGCCTGTTCTGATTGGTAGGAGCTTTCCATGGTCCTAGGCCTTTCACATCACTAGTTTCCTACTCCTTTTAACTGGAGGTGCTGGGAGTGAACCAATAACCTTCTCCATGCAAAGCAGATGTGTGGCCACTGAGCCCCAGCCCTTCTTGTTCTCATTTAGTCTTGGAAGGCTTCCTTGGTCAGTTGTAAACTGTACATCTGCCCAGAATTGTCTAAAAAAGAATGATACTGCCAGATATCTCACTACGGTACGTGGATTAGATATGGTGTGACTGATGGTGGGCTGGGGGCACAACACGTGTGGGACCATGTCCAATATGGTTCAACATTAGCGTGAACAGCATTCTGGATCACAATAAGCCTTCTGTTTTTGCTGCCTGCCTGGAACTGTGTGACTAGGAGGCTGTCAAGCACCAATTAGGCCATGATGCGTGGCTAGATTTGCACAAGTGGAGAGCTATGGAATTGAGTTTGTTTTAATCATGTGAAAAGTTCCTTACTTTTCCCCCCAGACTAGTAGAAGAGGAGAAATGTAGCTGCTTCAATATTGTTGGAATCTGATTAACACTGATCCCAGTTGTATCTTAGGGAGTATAGCTAGATTAATACTGATCCCAGTTGTATCTTAGGGAGTATAGCTAGAGACAGCTTTGTTCTGATTAATCTTATAAGGCCTTGGTATGGGGCTGGAAAAATACTCTCCCAAACATGGTCTTGTAAAACTCTCTCTCTCTCTCCCTTCCATCCTTCCAGGCTCATTTTAGGAATGATGTTAACAACTTCCTTCCTGTCTATGTGGCTGAGTAACACAGCCTCGACAGCCATGATGCTACCAATCGCAACAGCAGTCCTGAAGAGTCTCTTTGGAGAGAGAGAAACATCCAGCAGGGAGAATGAGGAAAACAAAGGTAAGTCACATGGGCTTGTCCCAGCATTCACTACAAATGTTGTGACATTTTAATGGCAAAATGGAACCCTACCAGCAGTTGAGTTGTCGAATGGAATCGTTGTAACATTCCACCTCCTAATACCCACAATGCTGGAACATTACTGTTTCCCAGTATTTAAACAGCAGTTTTGAGTACATGCCTTAAAAACGTCCCATTAAAACTGGTCCATTGGAAGTGGTACAGAATTGGGGAGCCCCCCCCCACAAGCCCCCTGCAAGCTGAGTTCACAATTCCACCAAAATTCCAAGCAGTTCTAATGGGCTTCATGCTGGCCAGTCTTCCTCAGTCCACCTTTCCCTAGCAAAAGTGTCTCTGTAAAGAGGGAGGGGGTCTGCAGGAGGGAGAGCTATCTGGCAATAGTGGAGGCCTTGTGAATCTAATTCAAGGCTTGGATGGCCAGGTCTCAAATGGCAGCCTCACGTCCTCAGCCAAAACTGATCTTAGTTTTGTAATAGAGTGCTGAGCTGGCAGTAGAGAAACATGGGGCGATTCTGCATTGGCTTTTCCCTCCATTGTTTTACGAAACCCACTAGGGCTGCCAAATGCAGCCGGGGGGCGGGGAATCCCCCGCTTCGGAGCCCCGATTTCCGGCGCGCCGGAATCGGGGCCCGGGGGAACCCCCACCCCCGCGTG